GAACAACGTGTCGAGTAGTAGAGGTGGTGTGCGGGACCTACGTCGTAGGTGATGTGATCTGGACCGTTGGGAATAAAGACGGGCCTCCAAACCTCCTTTTTAGCATGGCGGCTTCGGCCTAACTCCCTCTTTGTCCACACTGGTTCTGAGGCTGGCTTCCCTTTTTTTTTTTTTAATATCATTTTTTTTCCAAAAAATGATATTATCCACTGAAAAGGTAAAATAATAGGACAAGTCTTACAATTGATTAGCAATAATGTGATTCAAATTTGCATTTGACAAGAATTAAACTTAATATTTTATTTACAAATAAAGAAAAATATCATTAAACTATTATTTCTAAGTGACATCTTAACGCGATGTTTTAGACCACAATGGTTGCAAACTAAATAGGGTTTATTCCTTTTGCCAAATACCCAGTTATTACTATTTTTTTATTAGCTGAATATTATCCCACACAAAATCTCTAACGTTCGATAAGGCATGCAGCTAGCTTGCCAGAGAAGAATGAGTATATATATTCTCGCAAATAAGGCCGAGGGGAGGATGCAAAAGTATTTGGATCTTTCTGTTTGGCGTAATTCAACAGCTAATTATGATCAACAGTAACCGACGAAATAGCACTACTTATCAACACACCAAATTCATATCCGTCGTGAGGTCGAGAGCTCTACACAATACATATACTTCCAAACTTTTATACTTAAAACTTTTCTCTCTTTTTAAATACCTGAAAAACTTGTATGAGAAAAGGACTTAGTTAGATAGCATCAAATATATTATTTCACATGCTCAAAATGTAGTATGGACCATTTCGTACGTGCAAGGGTTGCAAGATTAGGACCATAATCATGTGGGAGCTAATAACTAAATTACAAGGTTTATGAACCTTAAAAACTTGTACAACTCTCCTACTTTGCTAACTAGCATCGTTCAAATGTTATGAGTTTTGGACATGCATGAGTTAGAAATACGTAAGCCAAGTTACCCGTTAAGAGTTTGGGCATGCATTTGCTAGCTACGCTAAGGTGTTATGAGATAATGGTAATGAATCATTTAGAAATACATACATTAGAAATTAAGGGTCTAACACATTATCTTGAAGGAATTCGAACCCTTAACACAATTTACATAATTCCTAACTCATTTTCCTATCCTATCATCCAGCAGTTGTACAACTGGTAAATCACATATGCTCCTTATTATAACATAATGTCTTCAAGGAATTCAAACCCTTAATACAATTTACATATTCCTAACTCATTTCCTATCATATTATTATAATTCCTCTATGCAGCCTATGAAATCTAAAACAAATTAATTAAAGGAAAAAAAAAAGAGAAACTGAAAGGGAATGAACTTTCTATAAAGATATAGCAGATTATCAGAATAAAGAAAGAGACCTATTTCTATATACATAATTACTGTTGGATACCAAATTATGATATATATCTAATTTCGTATGTGGATGTTTTAGGGGTGACAACTATTTGGTAATACGGTAGCACCACATTAGCCGTGATACTTCCATTCAAAATTTACCATGTGCCATCTGGTTTAACTAGAAAATTTGTAAGGTTCATCTGGTTTAAACTCCAGATCACTTTCTTTCTTTTTGAATACCATAAACAATCTCTCTCATTTCCAAAAAGTAAAATGGAGAACACCCAATAAATTGCTGCGATCAGATAAGAAAATAAGCGGAAAAAATTTGGGCCTCTTGCAGAATTAGGGAGGGGCAGCAGCTATGACAGGCAGTGGGAGTGAGGGGTGGAGCTTTGCCGTGGAAGGAAGTGTATGCTCGGCATTGTTTATTTTATTTTATTTTCTTTTCAAAGAGTAAAAGAAATTTTAAATCCAACTGTGAAAATTGTTCATGTGTCGAATTTTAAATGAAAGTATCACACGCTGACGTGGTGATGCCATCCTCCTCGTGTCATGGTATAAAGAAACAGTTATGTCTTATGTCACTCAAAAAAAATGAGTCTCAAATATGACAAAAAGTGTTCATATCAACTTGATCAACTGGGAATATTAAGGTCATACACGTTATGATGTGGAGGTCGAGCAATATAAATTGCCTACATGCATATTTCAAGACTTCAATGTTTAACTGCTATAAAATACACATATTATAAATATATATTCATACTTTAATATATAATCTAAAAGATTATAATGCTAAGCTTGTAGCTCTCTATACGTATGCAACTACGCATGAACAAAATATTTAAATTTCATATACTACTTTCCAATATAATATGTAAACGTTTTGTGCATGATATATTTATTAATCACATAATTGATCAACGATAGATTCGTGAATTTATCTTCTCAAATACAAGATGAGGTTCGCGTGTCACTGTTGTTAGTCGCCCGCGGCTACCAACAATGTCTCTAATCATTACAACCTCTTTTAGACGTTTTGTAAAACATCTTGTCCTCATAATATGACTTAAATCAAGTTATTTTAAAAAGAATAATAAAAAATCTTGAACAATGTCATCAATGGAGGTAGATTCTCTGTCCTCCAACTTCCTATGCCCTCCTGTTTGATTACAGTTAAATCACATCAACATTTTATATTACTATTCCTTTTTATCTTATTATCTCTATAAAAAGAATAATATAAAATGTTGACGTGATTTGACCGTGACTACACAAAATAGGAGGACACGAGAAATGAGAGGGCAGATGCCTCCGTCATCAATTGCAATTATAAAGAGTGGATGCGATTGCATACGCTGACTCCTATGTGGATTTGCCGCCAAAGTTGCTGATCATAACCTATTCAAGTACATGAGTCTTATTGATAATCTCTTGGTTTTTCGTATTTACAATGTTGGAAGAGATTAATCCCAAATTCAAATTCCCTCCTCAAAAGATAAACAAAAATAATAATAATAAAAGGTGGGTCGTACATGTAATACTCTGCAAATCATATATACCAAAATCCTCTGGTCAAAAGATAAATAAAAAATAATAATAAAAGGTGGGTCACATGTATTTAGTCTTACAGGTCATTTATATCAAATTTTGGCTTTTGTAATTGGATTCAAGTAATTTGATGGGACACCAAAAAAAGGAATTTGATGGGACACCATATCATTAAGGCCCTTAATTATTTTTAGGGTAAATTACACAAAACCAACTCAATTTTACATCGAACTACAATTGCATACCTTATATTTTAAACATTACAATCTCATACCTTTAACTTACGTATTCGTTGCAATGTCAAACCTCTATTAAATTTTCTGTCAATTTAGTTTTTAAATAATAACGCAGTAAGAACGAGACCCACTCCTTCGTCAACTAGAATAGTAAATTATTAATTTTGTATTTAAAAACGGAATTGTTATTGGCACTTCAAATTTCTCATTCTACCCTCCAAACTTTCTATATTTAGAAAAGAAAAATACATTTATCAGTACTGTAGAATGAGTTTTTTAAAATGTCAATAACCCTTTCCTTTAAAAAATTATTAATTAAGGGAAAAAAAAACCTCTTTCTCCTTCTTGTCCGTACCTTCATTCTCATCTCCTCTTCCTACCTTCATTCAATCTCAGTATCAAATTCAAAACCCACAAACCGATTCTCACTGTTAATACCAATGGACCCTTACCCGATAATCTAGACCCGAAATCTCCGGGAGCAAAGACGACCAAGAGGTCGTCGCAGCTGCCAGGCATCATCAAGAGTGCGAATTCGGTGGAAAATGACGGGTGAGTTGCTGAGATTCCCATTGACAAATTTAAAGGGTTTTCTGCAGAGGAAAAGATCGGAGCTTGAGACGAACGGCCGCGTAAGGTTGACATAGGATCCACCGCTTGCTAGCGCGGCGTCGTGGAGGAGGAAATTTTCGAAATCGTATTCGGGTTGCTACTGTTGCTTAGGGGTTTGGGCTCGGAAGAAGAAATGGGTTCTGCAACTAGGGTTAGGGTTAGGAAATAGGAGGATGAAGATGAGGAAATGAAGGGGACGAACACGAAGGAGATAAAGTTTATTTTATTTTTTTAAAATTAATTTTAATCTAATAAATTATTAATTTTTTTATTCCAATTGGATGAGCGAGTGGGCCCGCTGCCTGCCACATCAGCAGCTAACAGCCAAATTGACAGAAAATTTAACGAAGGTCAGACATTGCAACGAATTCATAAGTTGAGGTATAACATTGCAATGTTTAAAATATGAGGTATGAGATTGTGGTTCGACCCATAATTGAGGTAGTTTTATGTAATTTACCCTTATTTTAATTACATGTTTTTTAAATGTTGAAAAAAAATGAATCTATACAGTATACATCCACAAATGAAAATAGAGTAAAAGAAAAATAAGCTTAACTGAATTTCTTTATGCTTTTTTCTTTTCAATTTTATTATTATTAAGAGGCGGGGATGATTCGAAACTATTGCAATAATTAAGAAGATGACAAAGTTTTGAACCCGAGACATATGGCAGGAACCCTACACACTATCTACTAGGATATTTTACCGCATGCAAATTTTTTTGTTGAAAAGCTCAGAAAGATGTTATTGATTTTGATGCATTATCTGATAGTTTTGGATCCGTACTTATTTTTAATTGGTGTCACATCAGCTAGTTTGCAAATTTAGTTTAAATTTTTTATCTTCCTAGCATTATCCTGTAAGTTTTCATTTGTCATTTCACCAAGTAGAACTCTTGGTTGGTGGCCTAAGCCTAACCAATGAACTTGAAAATAGAGAACACAATGCATGTCACATTTGCCAACTTGCTACTATGTAACTAATCTACCAAATATCATATCTAGCACAAACAGAGAAATTTATCACACAAAACAGAGGCCATTGGTGACGATATGTGACTTGGAATGCCACAACCGGGGATGACAGATCAACTTAAGATATCGCGGCCACTATCACAAATCCGTCATATTCACTCCATGAATTGTTTTTCTTTGTTATCATCCAGAAAAAAAATCAAAATTAATAAAGTAATCCGCATGAACAATTCAATCGGAATATCAATTTCCAAGCCCGTTAATGTTTGTTCTTATGTAAAATTCCTTATGAACATCTTTACAATCCCTGCAAATTACAACGAGTTGCACTTCCTTGGTTCTTCAATAATTCAATGGAGAGCTCCTATACAAATTACACAGTAATTAAGTACCAATTAATTATGCATCCCTGAAAAATCTTCTCTTAATTCGTCATTATATTCGACCTTCGAGTTCAATAATTCCAGAGGCCATCGAGTTCTATCGGAGCGGACGAGTACGATGGATCGTCCTGTACCATTTCTCTGTTTGAAACCACTGAGGAAGCATCGATGCTCAGCCCTGTGTCCGGTGAGAACTCTATTTTTGCACTATGCCTCAAGTTTGGTGCATGGTTTTCAACCAACATCGTCAATAAGGACGGGTTCTGCATCAAAACTAAGTTTTGGTGGTGCAATAGTCCAACGTTTGGTGGGATTTGGTTGGAATAAAAAGAGTTCAAATGAGCAGATGGATTCGAACGTGATGAAGAAGCGAAATGAATGTTGTTGTGGTGGTGGTGGTGTTGGTGGTTGTAGCTGTTGTTGAAGCTGTCCATAATGTCGTCCTCAGTCTTCTGATCCTCCGCTGGATCAGAAAAGCAGGACACGTGAGAGGTTTCGCAGGCGGTGGCTGTTGTTCTAGCGTCGCTGTTGTAGGCTGGGGAATCCATTAATGGCGGGAGTAAAGAAGAGCGCAATTCGTTCCCGAAGGGGCTCGGCCTCAGCAACCCTGAAATATGAGTCTTCTTCCCACCGCTACTCTTTTGGAAAATTCTGCAAATCACCCACTCATTCTGAAAAACAAACACAAACAGATATCATTAACAAATAATCCGAGAAAAAATCGATTGAAAAACAGAGGAAAGTAGAGCAAGATTTTGATTGATACCTTCGCAGTTTTGGGGAGATTATGGGTAGAGCTTTCGCCCTCCAATCTGTATTCATGCATGACCCAATTGGTCTTCACACCTTTTGGGGCTCTTCCTGTGTAGAAAACCAGAGTTTTCTTCATGCCAACCAGGGTTTTGGCCTTGTAAATCTCCTTATCTTTGCCTGTGGCTTTCCAGTACCCGGCCTCCGTTGCCCGGTTTGTTCTCAGACCAGTTGGGTATTTTCTGTCTTTCACACAGAAGAAGTACCATTCCTTTTCTCCCATTTTTGCCTTCCCTTTATAAAACAAAAAACAAGAAAAAAAAATTAGATAAAGATTGAAAAATAAACAGAGAAAAACAGAGGACCATATGGTTTGGTGTAATCAAAGGACTTACAAGGCAAATCCCAAGGCTCACACTTGTTCAAATCCACCTCGCCAATTGCTCTAGCACAGAAGAAGTTGTCAAGAACTTTGGGGGATAGGTAGTGACTTAAGAGCTCTTCATCCGTTGGATGAAATCGGAATCCCGGAGGAAGTTCCATCTTCTCATCTTCCATAATAAACCCAGAAGTATTTTCCATTTCTTCAAATTTCCACTAAAACCCTATTTCTGACACTGAAATCAACTAATAACCTGAAAACCCCTTTCTGAATCTCAATTGGGTTTTCACCAACAAGCTCTAAATTCGAGAAATCGAAACGAAAATCCTACGGAACTATGAATCACAAACGGATTTATAGCTACCAAAAGCTTGAATACTAGATATTATATGAGATAAAGAAGGGAGGAAAAAGATATGAAACTGAAAAGCTTCTGATTTAACTGAGAGAGATTGAAAGATGTCTGAAAAAAAAAATGTGTGGAAAGGTTCAGAACCTCCTTAAATACTGGTGGGGGGAGAGAGAGAGAGAGAGAGAGGGAGAGAGAGGGAGAGGGAGAGGGAGAGGAAGCGTGGGTTGTAAGGCAACTTGGTGGATAGTTTCAAACTTTCAGCTCTCCCTTTTTAACTCTTCCGTAATCCTTCCCTGGTTCTTGACTTTGGAGATGGTTTGCATATCAAAAATATGATTAAGAATTATTTCCTTAATTTCAACTCTAATCTGTAATCCGTAATTAATTGACTTTTGAACATGTAATTAATTGACTATAGGTGGGGAAAGATTCAGAGACCAAAGTCACTGTGTTAGTTATTTTTGTTTAACTAAAGTCATCTAAATGGTGCAAGAGTTCTATTTCTCTTTGGCATGTAAATGACACATTAAGATCTCAGCATAAGAAGACACTTAAGAAGGTGAAACGCTTCATGAACTCTCTTTTTGTCAAATTGACCAAATAGCCCTCACTTGAGCATGCCTTCCGGCCGATGGATTAGAATTTTATCACTGAAAAAAAAAAGTAATTAATTCAAGGTCATTTGAGAACCAATTCGGTTTATTTTTCACTTCTTCTTTTGCATGGACTCTCACCACCCTTGCCACAGGCAAAACAACCCATTAAACTTGGGGGCTGCAACATAGTGCAAATGCTTATAAAGTTCTGTATTTAACGGTAATTTTCAAAATAAGTCATTCAAAACTCTGTTCACGGTCTCGAAGGTACAATATGTCAAAAATCCGAGTCACGTCCTATAAAAGTAAAAGTTGCTTGGTTGGTTTGAGGACTCGTTGGTTGGCAAAAACGTACACTAACTTTTTGCTTTCACTATTTCACCCAAGAGACTCCTACTGAGTAATGTAGGACAATCTCTGCACTCCAGCGCTACGTAATTTAGTCTTTATTCTTTAATCTACTTTTTTCATCTCTCATTTCTCCCACATATTCCTGTTATAACTCTTAACACAATAATAATAAAAGCGAAAAACAAAACAATTATCAAAACGAACATTAAAGTACTAAAAAAAACAAGATAATTATTTTCTATTTGCAACATTTTTGTTTTTGGCAATAAAGGGGACGGTCTGTTGGACAAGTAGACAAAACTTCTTTACCAATATATGCGAGCTAGGTGTGAACGGTGACCATCTCTCTGTGTGGTAATGCATATTTCAGGTAGGTATACAGTCGACTCATGTGTTTGGTTGTATATATAACGATGATGCATCGAGGAACTTGCTCCAACTTGAATTAGCCAAAAATCATGAAGTTATAGCCCTTGCGTGCACTTCTTTTGCCTTATATTTGGGGCTCCAAACTAAAAGTTTTCGTTGATTGAAAAAAATTACATGAAAATATAAGGATATCACCCAAAGGGGTAATTAACGAATCGCTTGTAAAGATGAATTACCAAATACATTAGGACTAACCTCATTTTACAACTTAAGGTTTGGAGTCATTTTCCAAAATGAGAACACGCTAATTTTCTCATATTGCGTTCATAATTATGCTAATTTAACTATTCTGTCAATTTTTACATCTAGTCAACTGTTTAATGCTGACGTAACTTAGAATTAACTTAAATATGAAGCGCATGAATTCCTTTCACAGTCAAATTACTCGTGCAATATCACACGTAACTACAACTAAAACCAAATTACTCACATTGAAGACAAGAACAATTCCATAACAAATGTTGCAATTTACGGTCCAATTCCATCAACCAAAAACCGGCAAAGTCACATTCAATTCGTGAAATAGGCAGTCAATTTAAAAAGAAAAAAAAAAGAAAAAAAGAAAAAAAAAGGGTGGTGCATCAAAATCTCCACTGAACTTTTCAAACTAGTTTTAGTAATTATGCTATTACCTCAAATGCCCCCATCCAAGGATTAACTTCTGCCAACAAGATCTGTTGTCATTGAGCAAAGGCTTTTAAGTTAAAATAGTTTCTGATTCTCATTAAATTGTCACGTGAATGATCATATGACTACTTTTTAAAGGTATTATTGTCAAACCAACACCTTCATTTAACGAGGATATTGACAGATTTTCCACAGAATGATCAAAATGATTTACACTGGACCAATTCAAGGATCACTTTTAGCGATTTTCATTGTTAGACATCAGAATAAAGAATTATGTCAATATGAAAGATCATTTTGATTAAAAAGCCTCCAGCAAATAATTAAGATAAAAAAAAGGGGACCTATGGCTTTGCCTTGAGAAACTATATGTAGTATATAGGGTCCCAACTAGCTAGCTAGCTGGTTTCACAGAAATTTAAGTGTGGGTTTCATAGTTATCAATTATTTCTGGGTTCACCTAAGGCACATGGATGGGGCATATACGTCCATGGGCTCAACATTTTCCTGAAACGAATGGAGCGTCCGAGATTGATGCTAACATAATTCAACATTGGTAATAGCTTATAACCGTTTTTATGTGGTGCAGGTGTAAACACCAAGGTCATACAATTAATAAGGTTGAAAACACATAGATCATAATAACAAATCCACTTTCAATATCTTGACTACAAGCGTATCAGAAACCCACGTTCACACGTAATAATGCATTTTGGTACTAGCTTGTGTGTTTTTCGTCAAAATTTTCTGTACTATGTATTGTTTAGTACTTAGGTTTAGAAAAAAAAAAACGATTCCTCATCTAATTTGCAAATACCTAATCCAAATTACCCTTTTAATTAATAGTGTTTGATTTAGTCAGGTTATTATCATATGGAAATTAAACATGCACGTGCATTTTGTTACATCCTCAATACCAACAAACAAAGCAGCAAAATTTGGCATCATTAGCAGCTGCGTTGATTTCCATCCCGTGCCTGGTTTTCAATAACTATATAATTAATTAACCTTTTACGTTCTTGATTAATCTTGATAAGAAATTAAACCCTTTCCTTTTCAGGAAATATTTTAATAATGTAGTTGAAAGCGTAGGGGTAGGGACTTCATCTATTAAAGATTTAAAAAGAAAAAAATATATATATCTGAAAGAGAAAGAAGTTGAAAAGAAATGTAAAAGAGAGACGGGAAGAAAAAGAGAACATGAGCGTGAGATAATTTTATTTTTATTTTTAAAATTTAGAGGCGTGTTTTGATGACATGTTTGTGAGAGAAAACAAAAGAGAAAAATTGTTTATGCGAAATTACTTATTGGCTATGATTTTTTTTCTAATATTTTCTTTTAGGATGATGTTATTCACGCATTCATTTTACTTTTCATACATCTTTGTTAATTTTTGATTGTCGGATCGAATTAATCGAAGAAGATCAATAGACAAAAATTAACAATGGTGTGTGAGAAGCAAAAAGGAGTGTGTCAATATCACTACACTTCTTCTAATTATGAATGGAAGGGTATAACGGTATTTTCATTAGTTTTTAGTTAACAAATAGCTTTTTTTTGGATGGTACTATCCAAACACTGGTTTTTTTTATCTCAAACACTCTTCTCAATTTTTGCTTATAAAATCGAATAAATTACAGAAAATTAATTGACAAAAATTAACAAGGTGCGTGGGACATAGTAGTATAACTTAGGGTTTCCAATCATCTCGGCAACCTTCATGATCGGACGGCTCATGTTTGATCGTCCGGTCAATATTAATATCTACCATCCGCCGTCCAGAAAAAAAAAAAAAAAATTGACTGTGCCGCCGTTGCCCACTGAAAAGCAACCAAACTCATAAACTTGGCAAGTTCTGATTGGATGAGAGGAAAAGTTTGTGCCAAACCTAAATTAAGCTACGTTGACCATAGGTGCTGTGTTGGCATTTGTGGGTCCTGCTTCCTCCACTCCGACAAGAGGCCACGACTGAGATTGACACGTGGGTTAATGGGGTTCGCAGAAAATGTTGACCAAGTAAAGGTGCGGTATTTGATGGAATTGGATCCGCTACGAATTTTAGTGTCTGAATGCTAGATATCAATTTATCTGGGTTATTAATTAGTGTGCAAAAGAAATCAAAATCGTTGGTTTTGTGTGTAGAGCCAAGAAAATGAGTTAAAAAAAACCATTAGATTGAATTTATACGGCCCAGATAAATTGCTTTTTAGGCTCTGGAGACTAAGGTCGAAGTGGATCCAAATCCGTTTATGGTAATGTGATTACATTATTAATTATATTTTATTAAATTTTAAAAAGTAGGTTTGGCATTAAAAAATAATAAATAAGAGTAGGCTACAGCTGCCTAACTGCTCTCTTATTGTTTATTAATTCATTTTATTCTTCCATTGACCAAGACTTTGGATGGAGGCATGGAAATTTGGGTTTCAATCATTGGGGTAATATTTGTGTGCCAAATCATTACCTTAAAATGGGGTTTTTTTTTTTTTTTTTTTTTGGGTGTTAATCATAACCTTCAGATTTGTTTGGAAGTGTTTTTAAAATGATTGAAAATACTTTTGGTAAAAATATTTTTAGAACCAATTATTAGCAAAAACAAAAATGTTTCAAAAACACTTGAAGTACTTCCAGGAAGTACTTCCAGGAAGCACTTCATGTGCTTTTGAAACTCAAAAATATTTTCTCTATAACGTTTTCATTTATTTTAAAAACACTTTCAAACGAACTAATAATTTGGGAGTCTTTTTATTAAAAAAATTATAACACCCAGTTCAATTTATTTTAAGTAGCCCTCGCCACCAATAAGATTAGCCTACTAAAGGTAAGACGAAATATTAATGATATGTTGAGTGAAATTATACAACTTTCTGCATTGACTAAAATGACATAAATACAACTTTCTACCTTTCACATACAATTTTTAGTACAACAATTATATTGTCACGTTTTTAGTTTACATTTTAAAATATGAATGAGCGACACGATTGATATGACACACCCCGACCGAAATCAAGGCTCCTCTGTCTCCCAATTAGCCTCTTCCACCGAGTGATTTCTTCACAAAACTTTCACTAAACGCACGGTCTAATTTCTCAA